AACAAAAAATAGATTGTTTTAAAAGCCCTTAAGTTTATTTCTCCCATTGGACTGAGGTTGTGCCCCTTGGGTTAGCGTCTCCCCATTCCCTCCACTCTCCATTTTCATATCTGTAAATGTGGCTCCTGGAAAATTCTCAGTTGCATATTATTTGTCTATTGGTTTGCTACTCTAGATGTTTAATGTCTCTAGGGATGGCCCTGGCTAGTACCTTAGTCCAGAGCTACATTTATCACTTGCGACCAAAAGATTCCTCCAGGCTGTTCTCCAACCCCAAATTATTGTTCTCATGTTAACAATCAGTGCATCCAACTCCTCCCAGCTCATCCTCACCCTTACCGCCCCTCCCAGAACTCTCTCCCTGCTCAAACCCACTCTGCCCTTGTCTTTTCCAGAGCTTCTAAACAGCCATTTGCACTATTCCCACACCCCCTTTGTAGCCATTTCTTTGTAGCCTTAGCACCACTCTCTGACCTTTGCTGCACCATTCCTGTCCCGTCACTTGTGGCCAGGGGAGAGGCCATCCCATCAACAGCCTGCCCCGCCAACACCAGGGCTTGGCCTTCACTCCAGGCCACCCCTGCTGGGGCTATTTCACCTGTTTTCCCACTATCCCGCCTTCTCTTTGTACCACTGACCCTTCTCAGTGACCTGTGTCTGAGAAAGGGACAGCGATCTGCTTGGAGGTCTACTGAGGGCTACTGATGAGAAGAACATCTTAAAAGGGAAAGAAACAGAATTAGACAGAGGACAAACTTAACTGAGATGTCATTTCCACAGAGGCCACTTCCAGGAAACTGCGGAGCTGGGTGGTCCTTCAGAATCCCCTGGGATGAAAACAAGGAGTTGTGCTTTTGTATCCGTGCATCAACAACTGGATCTGGAACCCAGATACCTCCACCCACCGGAGGTGATATGTTAATCAGCTCTCCATCACTGTAACAAAATACTTGAGGAAAAAAACTTGTCAGGAGGAAAGACGCACTCTGGCTCACGGTTTCAAAGGTTCAGTCCATGGTTGCTTGGTCCTCCCTCTCTGGGCCTGTGGTGGGCAGAATGTTGTGACACAGAGCATGGGACACAGCAAAGCTGCTGGCCTCAGGTGGCCAGGAAGCAAAGAAAGATGGGAAAGGCTAGGTGTCCCAGAGTCCCCTTCAAGGGCAGCTCCCAGTGACCTAATGTCCTCCTGGTAGGCCCCACCTCCTGCGGGCCTGCAGCACCCCAAGCTGGTGGCTAAGCCTTCAACACTTGCATCTTTGAGGCATAATCAAGATGAAAACCGTACCAAGTGGCAGTCTGGCTTCTACAGTCTACCACTACGTAACTCCAAACTTCCACACTAAACCTATCTGCTTGGGCACCCCCCTTCTTGGTGTTCCTGGTGAACTTCCGCCTTCTCCTGAGTTCCGTGACTGTCCTTCATGGTCTCTCCTGATGGTTTCCATTTTCCCCGTCACCTCTTTTTCCTCCTTAGACCCAGGTCCTGTCTTCAGCCCCTCCTCTCTACTTTGCTACCCTCCCCATCTCACTCCGGTCAGCCCAGCTTCTCCCAAGCAACTCCAAAATTCCCTTCTCCTGCTACTACCCCTCCTTTAAGACTTCTAGAATCACCCCTCCAAACACATTTCCTGGGTACTTGCAAGAAGGTGGCCTGCTTTGCAAACTCAATGCGCCTCCCACTCCCTGTTCTCCTGCAAACTCTAAGTCTACAGCCCACCACAGCCCCTCCTGAGACTCCCTTCCTTCTCCTCCCACAGCACACCCCGCCATCTCTGCAGACTCCCGTCCTCTGATTGGTGCCTTGCATCCCCAGCTCAGGTCTTCACTGCACAGGGACAAGTGTAATCACCTCTTTTGAGACTTTTGCTGTCTTAGTCCATTCTCTGTTGCTATCACAAAATACCCAAGACCAAGTAACTTATAAAGAAGAGAAGTTGATTTGGCTCAGGACTCTGGAGGCTGGGAAGTCTGAGATTGGGTACCTACCTGTGGGGAGACCTTCCACTGCATCATAAACGTGGAAGAAAAGCGGAGGGAAGGCAATTGCCTTTGAGAGACAGACACAAGGAAGCCTGCACTGTACAAGGACCTGCTCTTGGGTGTAATTCATCTAGTCTTGCCAGAGGGTGAACTCACTTCCCACAGAATTAACCCTGCTACAGGGAGCAGCAATAATCCCTCTGGAAGTTCCCTCCACCTCTCCAGGTCCACAGCCCAACTCCAGCTTTGCAGGGGACAAGCCGGGCACCAGCCCCTATGTCCCCGGTTAACCCTTTCTTAGCAGCCCCTGGGGTACCTAGGACCCCGGGCCTTCAGTAGCCAGCGACTGTGGGTTCCCTGCCTCACTGCCTCCCCTGACGGAGCACGCTGGTAAATGGGTAATCTGCTGACGGGCGCACCGCGGCAGGAGCAGAAGGCGCGAGGTCAGGAGACACATGGGGCCCTGCCCGGGAGGACGCGGGCTCTGCCGTCTGTTCTTCCTCTCTGCTCCAGTCTGGGCCGGGCGAATAGAAAGCAGGGGAGACCCGCGGAGGGCCAGCAGAGCGCCAGGCAGCTCCGGAAAGGCCCACTCGGCCCAGGCGCGGCCGGCAGGAAGCAGCGGCGCGGGGCTGCTCCCCCTCGGCAGGCCGGAAGGGGCGCGGCCCGCGGGCGGTGGGCGGC